CCCGTGTCCCCTGCATCGGCAGGCGGACTCTCAACCACTGCGCCACCAGGGAAGCCCTCCAGCATTTATTGTTTCTAGATTTTTTGATAATGGCTATTCTGACTGGCGTGAGGGGGTATCTCATAGTAGTTTTGATTTGCATTTCTCTAATAATTAGTGATGTTGAGCATCTTTTCATGTATTGGTGAAATGTCTATTCAGGTCTTCTGCCCATTTTTTAACTGGATTGTTTGTTTTTTTGATATTGAGCTCCATGTGCTGTTTGTATATTTTGGAGATTAATCCTTTGTCTATTGTTTCATTTGCAAATATTTTCTCCCATTCTGAGGATTGTCTTTTTGTCTTGTTTATGGTTTCCTTTGCTGTGCAAAAGCTCTTAAGTTTAATTAAGTCCCATTTGTTTATTTTTGTTTTTATTTCCGTTACTCTAGGAGGTGGGTCAAAAAGATCTTGCTGTGGTTTATGTCAAAGAGTGTTTTTCCTATGTTTTCCTCTAAGAGTTTTATAGTGTCTGGTCTTACATTTAAGTCTTTAATCCATTTGGAGTTTATCTTGTTTATGGTGTTAGGTAGTGTTCTAATTTCATTCTTTTACATGTAGCTGTCCAAGTTTTCCCAGCACCACTCATCGAAGAGGATGTCTTTTCTCCACTGTATGTTCTTGTAATTTGTCATAAATTAGGTGGCCATATGTGCGTGGATTTATCTCTGGGCGTTCTATCCTGTACCATTGATCTATATTTTTGTTTTTGTGCCAGTACCATACTGTCTTGATTACTGTAGCTTTGTGGTATAGTTTGAAGTTGGGAAGCCTGATTCCTCCAACTCCGTTTTCCTTTCCCAAGATTGCTTTGGCTATTCGGGGTCTTTTGTGTTTCCAAAGGAATTGTAAAATTTTTTGTTCTAATTCTGTGAAGGATGTCATTGGTAGTTTGCTAGGGATTGCATTGAATCTGTAGATTGCTTTGGGCAGTATAGTCATTTTCACAATATTGATTCTTCCAATCCAAGAACATGGTGTATTTCTCCATCTGTTTATGTCATCTTTGATTTCTTTCATCAGTGTTTTATAGTTTTCTGAGTACAAGTCTTTCACCTCCTTTGGCAGGTTTATTCCTAAGTATTTTATTCTTTTTGTTGCAATGGTAAATAGGAATGTTTCCTTAACTTCTCTTTCTGATTTTTCGTTGTTGGTGTATGGGAATGCCAGAGATTTCTGTGCATTAATTTTGTATTCTGCAACCTTACCAAATTCATTGATTAGCTCTAGTAGTTTTCTGGTGGCATCTTTAGGATTTTCTATGTATAGTAACATGTCATCGGCAAACAGTGACGGTTTTACTTCTTCTTTCCCAATTTGTATTCCTTTTATTTCTTTTTCTTCTCTGATTGCTGTGAATAGGACCTCAAAAACTATGTTGAATAAGAGTGGTGAGAGTGGACAGCCTTGTCTTGTTCCTGATCTTAGTGGAAATGCTTTTTCACCATTGAGTACGATGCTTGCTGTGGGTTTGTCATATATGGCCTTCATTATGTTGAGGTAGGTTCCCTCTATGCCCACTTTCTGGAGAGTTTTTGTCATAAATGGGTGTTGAATTTTGTCAAAAGCTTTTTCTGTATCTATTGACAGGATCATTTGGTTTTTATTCCTTAATTTGTTAATGTGGTGTATCACATTGATTGATTTGTGTATATTGAAGAATCCTTGCATTCCTGGGATAAATCCCTCTTGATCATGGTGTATGATCCTTTCAATGTGCTGTTGGATTCTGTTTGCTAGTATTTTGTTCAAGATTTTTGCGTCTGTGTTCATCAGTGATATTGGTCTATAATTTTTTTTTGTGATATCTTTTTCTGGTTTTGGTATCAGAGTGATGGAAAGCCAGTGCTTTTTCAACCAACCATCTGATCTTACCAAGGAGAAAGGTTCAATGGTGGGGGGGTGGGTGGGCAGCAACTATGCCTTTAACCTCATAATACTCCCTGGTCTCCAGGGCCTTGGGGGTCACACCCTCTGTGGGTAATGGTAGCTGCCAGAATTGAGTAACCAGGTTTCATTTTCATTTTGTTATTTTTCCAGTTACCCCTTACTTATGGCAAGGAGTAATTTAATCTCTTTTCACTTTTGGTAGAGATAGTTTCCTTGTCAGATGTTTATTTCGGTGACAAATGTGAAGGAAGAGCCCAAGGATAAGTTTGCCATCAAGTTCTAGGTCTTGGCAGTGGATCCGTGGGTGTTCATTAAGTTTGTATCAATAAATAGGTTAATTAAAATAAAGGAGGGTGCCCCATGGAGAAGATAAGAGTAGGTCATATAACAGTGAACACGACTAATCCAATTAAAAGGAAAAAAAATTGATGCAAGTGAAAATACTAATTCAACTATAATACAGGTGATAGCCATCTAGAAAACTGCAGGTGCCCACGAATAAACTGTTTGGGAAGCTTGGACTGAGGCTTCAAAAACCCAGAATGGGGGCTTCCCTGGTGGCGCAGTGGTTGGGAGTCCGCCTGCCGATGCAGGGGACACGGGTTCGTGCCCCGGTCCAGGAAGATCCCACATGCCGTGGAGCGGCTGGGCCCATGAACCATGGCCGCTGAGCCTGCGCGTCCGGAGCCTGTGCTCCGCGACACGAGAGGTCACAACAGTGAGAGGCCCGCATACCGCCAAAACAAAACAAAAACAAAAGAACAAAAAAACCAGAATAGTTTAGGCCAGGTTCACTACCTCAGGGAACCACCATCATTGCTGTCTAATAAGGGTCTCTACCCCCCCACCCCTGCTTTGCAGCCTCTGGGGTTTTGCGGGGGTGGGTACTGGACACTCAAGAGGCTGGGATTTGACTCTGCCTGTGTTGGAACCCCCAGGTGAAGCTCTTCATCCTGGACCTCTCTGCCATGCTGGCCGGCCTCCATCAGGCCAAGCCCGCCGTCCGCGCCTCCTGACCCTGACCCAGGTGAGCAGTGGGGGAGGGGCCCCCAGGAGGTACACAATTCCTGCGGGTTACAGGCTGAGTGGCTCTCACCAGAAAGACAGGAGGGCTGTGCCCGCTCAGATTGCAGTGGGGTGGGCATGAGGGGCACACAGCAAATACTAAATGAATGTGGGCTACATGGAGGGCACCAATCCCACATCCACCATGTGACCTGGGACCTGGTCCTCCCACCCAGGGCAGATGGGGGATTTTTTTTTCCCTCTTAATAAATTTATTTACTTATTTATTTCTGGCTGCATTGGGTCTTTGTTGCTGCACAGGCTTTCTCTAGTTGTGGCGAGCAGGGGCTACTCTTCGTTGCGGTATGCAGGCTTCTCATTGCAGTGACTTCTCTTGTTGTGGAGCACGGGCTCTAGGTGCACGAGCTTCAGTAGTTGTGGCACGTGGGCTTCAGTAGTTGTGGCTCACGGGCTCTAGAGCCCAGGCTCAGTAGCTGTGGCACACAGGCTCAGCTGCTCTGTGGCATGTGGGATCTTCCTGGACCAGGGATCAAACCCATGTCCCCTGCATTGGCAGGCGGATTCTTAACCACTGCGCCACCAGGGAGGTCCCCAGTTGGGGGTATTTAAACAAGCTGATGTTTGTCAGATGCTTGGAATGGGGCCTGGCGCAAATTTTCTGGTAAATTTTGGATGAGTGTTTGGTAAGTAAAGTAAAATAAAGGAGGACCAGCAAGAGGGTCACACGGCAGACACCCATTCCTGGGGCGCTTGCTCACAAAGGCTCCTCCGTCGTGGACTGGCGCTGAGTGATGGCCATTCTGAGAATCCAGCTACCGGAGGCTGCCCTTGACCTTCCCAGGACCCCCAACAGGGGCTGAGGAGAACAGGGCTTAAAGCAGGACAGAGGCCAGGACAGGTTTTGACCTCTGGGTGTGTGGGGATAGTGTGAACTCCTTCACATCCAGGAAGCGCACTGCACCCTCTGCCCCCAGACTCTACGTGCTGTCTCCCTCCCACCGTCCAGTCCCAGCTGCAAGCCTGTCCTGGTGGGAGGAAGGGGACCGACTGCCAGCTTTGGGGCGTTCCCATCTGAGCAACCGACCCACCCTCTGAGCCTGACTTTCCTCGTCTGCAAAATGGAGATTCCAGCAGAACCCACTCGGGACTTGCCCGCATGCTCTCGGCTCATCCGCACACTAGCTGGGACTCTAGTACCCGGGTCTGTCCCTTCCAACTCAATGCTCCTGGTCCACTGGAGGCGCTCAATAAAGGTTTATTACATTAAAAATACATCACTAGGCCTCAGGCACTCAGGGCTCACACCCATGTGGCCACCACCTCTGAATCCAGAACACAGCAGCAGCAGCCGAGTTGCCAACTCAGATCGTAGCCTGCCTGGCCTTGCTGGCAAACTCCTATGAACCCTTCAACACCCTGCTCAAACGTACCCTGTCTTAGGCAGAGGCAGCTGCTGCCCCTTTGCGGCCGTATAGCAAGCACTCCTTTGCACGGACCATGGCTTCTGCAGGGAGCCCCCCAGCATCCAGCTCAGGGCCAGGCACACAGTGGTACACAGGGAACATTGCTTATGTCCACGCTTGGACCAGGTGAGGAACCACGGGGCTGTATCACCTTCCTTACAGGCTCTTCCTCATCTTGCCCTTCTTGGAGTGGGCGCCGCGGCCGAAGGCGCCCTGCTGCAGCTCCCGGGCGCGGCGCCGGTTGCGGGCAGAGAGCTGCTTGAGGCCTCCACGCTGCAGGAAGCGCAGTTTCTGGGCTCGGCACCGCTGCTTCAGGATCTGCTGCTTGGTCTTGAGCTCTGAGCGCACGCGACCTGTGGGGGCACCAGGGGTGCGGGGCTGGGATGCACCTGCCAGGATGGAGATTCAGGGAGTTCAGGCTTTGGGTCGACTCCCAATGTCTCCTCCTCCCAGAAGCCTCCGGGATGCTCCCCTGTCCCCGCTCTCGTTCTGTGTTCACTGCTGTGGCCCCAACATGTGGCAGATGGTAATTGCTTAATAAAGCTTAAGTAGTCTACTGTAATGGGCAGTAGCATGGACCCTCCAGCCCAAACTGCCAGGGATCAAGTCCCAGCTGTGACCTCTTGGACCTTGGGCAAACTACTTTACTTCTCTGTGCCTCAGTTTCCTCTCCTATGAATTATGAATAAGAGCACCTACCTCATAAGTCCTAATGTGGAGTAAATGGGTTACTACGTGTGCAGGGTTCAGAACAAGGCCTAGCCCACAGTATGGCCTCCTAAGTGTAACTATTACAATCATAAATCATTCAACAAAAGCTTTTCAGTGCCTCCTCTATGCCAGGCACTGGGGACCCAGACAGACTCTAAACCCTGTCTCTCTGGACTACATGCTCTAGGCTTGTTAGATGAAAACAGGCTGTAGCTTAACTCCCTCTGGCAGGAGAGAAATCAGAGAAGGCCAGCGAGGGGAAGGGACTTATCCAAGGTCACCCAGCAAAGCGGCAACAGCAGCAGCAGCAGTGGTTGGTGGCCCCGCCCGCCACCTCCCGGCTCTCTGGGCGGGCAGGTCTCCCCCCCAGCCCCTGGCTCCCCACTAAGGCCTGGCCCCTCCTCTTCTGTACTCACCTGCCTCACCCAGCTCCTTCCCTCCCACAACAGTGGCCTTGCAGGGCTCCCACACAGATGGCCATTAAGGCGGCCCCAGATGTCTCCACAGGGGCCAGGCCACCTGACAGGGACCCACCAAACCCAGTGAGGACAAAGCACAGGGGGAGAACAGCTGCTTTTTCCCGAAGCTCACAGGCCACCCTCACCACCCCGGGTCCAGCAAGCCCACAGCGGCAGCCGGCTTCACTCCAGATAAAACTGGGAGCTGAGGACTGAGGGATGAGGGGGTCCGGGGGAGGCAGGGACACGCCCACAGAAAGACAAAGAGAGGAGGAGAGACAGAGACTGGGAGGGGTGTGTGTGTGCGCGCGTGTGTGCGTGTGCGTGTGTGTGGAGAGAAAGGAACAGGAACAATGAGAGAGATGGAGAGAGATACAGAAAGACAGAGACAGATGGGGAGAAACAGAGACAAAGAAAGAGACACAGAGATGGACAGGGACACAGAGTCAGAGGCAAAAAGAGAAACAGAGACCTGGAGAGAAAGACACCTACAGAACAACACAGAGAGGATGCGTCGGAGAAAATCCAAGACAGAAACAGGGAGAAACAGAAGAGGTATCCACCGTCAGAGAGGAAATGTCAACGAGGACAGGGGGAACGTGCACAGAACAGAGGAGGCCCTGGGAGAGGCAGAGCAGAGGGGCGCCTGGAGCCGTGACAGACAGCGTCCCCAGGCTGAAGGACACAGACTCGGATGCTGAAGAGGCAGTGAGCAGCCCTGCGGGCTCGGGGGAGACAAGCAGGGCCAGGGCCCAGAGGAAAGAGGCCCAGGACAGGTTCAAGCTCCCCAACCCTGGCGGGGGTGGCCGGGGGAGGCAGCAGGCAGGCGGGGGACCCAGGGCCAGTCACTGTGACTTGTTTCCTGGCCTGAAAGCCAGCCATTCTCAGTCTTCTCGCCCCCAGGTCACGTGTGGCGAGGCTCCAGCACGCAGCCTGACCCCAGACAGCAAGCGGGAGCCCCTCTCTGACAGCAAGCTTGGCCCCAAAGGTGGGGCTGCAGTGGGACAGGGCCCAGGCTCCAGTCTCCTCCCTTCAGAGTCACGAGTGTCACCACTCCCAAGGTGCTCCTCTGCCCTGAGGGGCTGACCGAGGTCCTGGCACGCGGGGCAGCCAGCCCAAGCCGAGGTCACCGAGCACAAGCTCCTGCAGCAGAGCTGAGTTCAAATCCCACCTTAGCGTGTCACCCACTGAGGGACCCAGGCCAGATCAAGAGGACCAAGCCCCCAAGATGACCAAATGTGCTACATGGCAACCTGCGTTTTAAGGACGATCCTACCCCAGCTCTCACCTTGCCCTCGGCCGCGCTTACCACCTCTTCGCTCTGGGCCACGCCGTTCAAATGTCCCTTCTTCTTCTGAGTCATGATCATCAATTTTCTGCTTCTGTTTCCACTTTTGGTAGCTGGGAGGCTGCATTAAGGAGGCTGCATGCAGCATCCAGAGAAAGATGCCCTAGACAACCGTGGGCTGGGAGCAGGGCCCCCCCCCCCCCCCCCCCCCGGATACAGGCCTTACCTATAGGGGGTCTGGTGGCTGAATCCGCTCGACCCCGCCCCGCCTCTAGCCCCCACCTGTAGGAGCTGGGGTGGTTGAGGAGCCAGACCACGCCCCTTCCTGACCCCGCCCCCACCCACAATAGATGTGGCTATAGAAGGCGCTTGGCTCCGCCCCCTCTGCCCCCCACCCCCTCCAGGATACAGGTCCCTCTTGTAGGAGCTGCTGATATAGCGGCCACTCTCCGTCTTGATCTTTTTCTTGTCCTCCTGTCCCGACTGTCCCACAAACCGCTTCTTCTTCCGGTCCCTGTGGGAAGAGTTGGGAGGTGTGCTGTGGAGGGAGGTGGCCCGCTTCCCCTCTGGGCCTGTTTCCCCCTGACCCTCTCATTTGATTGTTGGAGGATTCAAGGAAAGCAGCGTGCCGGGCGTCTGGCAGGCAGCAGGCGCCCCATAAAGGCCCGTTCCCTGGCCCTCCTCACCACTCCCTGGCAGCCCAGGTCTCAAAAGGCAGTGTGGCAGTCAGGGGATTAGCTCCAACCTGGGGGCCTGGGTCAGGGACAAGGGACCCTGGAGGGTTCCCAACCCCTACCTGGCCGCCTCCTGGCTCTGTGACCCTGGGTTGAGCCACATCACTTCTCCAGAACCAGAGTCCAAATGGGTAAACTGGGTCATAAGCCCCTGTCTAGCAAGACTAGCCCCCCAAAAGGACAGATGGGGTCAAGATCCCTGTTGTGTATGACCACATGGGGGCAGGACAGGGTGGGCGTCATAATCTGTGCTGAGGACCAAATGAGGGGTGAGGATGTCATAATTCCTGCTCTAGGGGATCAAACAGGAGTCAGGATAGGAGGGGGTCACCTTTT